TGTTAAATGAATCCCTGCCATTGTTAAGTGAGTAACACAGTTGTTCCCCTGCTGATTTTGCTTGTCAGAAGGTCACAAAAGGGGATCACGGGACCCATGGGAAACTGCGACCGTCATAACTATGAGTCAGCTGCCAAGCGCCTGAATTTTAACCCCGTGACCCTGGGGCTTACACAGGTCGTAAATGTGAGAAATGACCCTGGGTCCCTTTTTTCGTTGCCGTTGTAACTTCCAAACGGTTAGTAAATGAACTCTTGTAAGACGGGGTCTAAGTGCTCCATATATTTTCAGAGTTTCTCAACTTGGCAATTGTAAAATTTGTGTGTGGACTTCAACTCCCAGAATACATGCTGTCTGGGAGTATTCTGGGAGTTGAAGTCCACTTATCTCAAAGTTGCCAAGGTTGACTCACCCTGATGTAGGTGGCCAAGAGGTGGTAGATCTTCCTTCTCCAAAACACAACCACCTCCTCCTCCTCCTCCTCCTCCTCCTCCTCCTCCTCCTCCTCCTCCTCCTCCTCCTCCTCCCCCACTTCCAGCACTGATGACATTCCCTAGTAGGGTCATGAAACGTCTGCAAGGAAACCACCCAGCTCAGGGAGCACCAAGGACCCCTTCATTTCAACCCTGAGCCCCAAATATTCTCCCTAATTTGCCCTGTCAGCATCTCTCAGGAAGGCCAGAAGGTAATTTCTACTTTGCTTTTTTTTCCTCCCCCCAGGGGGGTGTAAACAAGATGTACCACGGGATCTATGACTATGACAAGAGTCTTCCCAGGGTCCACGTCCCCATGGAGAAAGGAGACACCCTCTTCTTCCACCCCCTGCTCATTCACGGTTCCGGAAGGAACAGGACAGAAGGGTTTCGGAAGGTAATCGGGTCACAGCCTGGGAGGCTGAAGGTCTTTCCTGCTTGGTCCAAATCTCTGTGTGCTACCTGAACATTTGGCCCTCCTCTCTCTGGATGGGTTTGGTTCAGAAGGCTTGGAACGTAGCCGATTAAGATTTCTTAGTTAAAATACAAAATGGCGTAACTTCACTCTCCCTCCCTCCTCTCCCACTGCCCCCTCTTTCCCCCCTCCCTCTTTCCCTGTCTTTTCTCCTCCCTCTCTCTTCCTCCCTCTTCCTCTCTCCCTCCCTCCCGCCATCTCTTCCTCCCTCCCTTTCCCTCCCTGTCTTTTCTCCTCCCTCTCTCTTCCTCCCTCTTCCTCTCTCCCTCCCTCCATCTCTCCCTCCCTCTCTTTCTCCCTCCCTTTCCCTCCCTGTCTCTTCCTCCCTCTCCTCCCCTTTCCCTCCCTCCCTCCATCTCCCCCTCTCTCCCTCTTTCTTTCTCCCTCTCCCCCTCCGTCTCTCCCTCTCTTCTTCCTACCCCTCTTTCTCTCCCCCCCTCTCTCTCCCCTTCTCTCTCTCTCCTTCCCTCTGTCTTTTAATGCAGGCTATCAGTTGCCATTATGCCAGTAGCAATTGCTACTATATTGACGTCAAAGGGACCAGCCAGGAATTTCTGGAGAAGGAATTGGAAGAGATTGTCAGGCAGAGGTATAATATGGCTGAGGTGGATTTCAAAGTAAGTATGTTGTTTCCCTCCCCACCTGCCCTTTTTCTTCTTCTTAAAAAGCCACCACGTTCAAAAGCATTGGGCCCCTGTTGCTTCTCTTTCCTATAACTGTACCTTCGTTTGGAGGCTAGTAGTACAGCCAGTCCTCAACTTATGACCACAGCTGGGACTAGGATTTCCATTGCTAAACAAGGAAGTGGTTAAACGTGCCTGTGTCAGGGAATTTTTCATGGAATTGTTGGAACCTACAGCAGCTCCCCCCAAACCTCTGGTGGTCCAGGGTGAGACCCATTACGAAATAAAGAAAATTCCTCGATTCTAGATTACACCGAGGACGATTACAATATTGGTGCTATGGAAAGGCTACTTCAGATTTGGGATAATGTCAGCGTTCCAGGAAACCTCCATTCCAGCCAATAACTCCGAGACAGACTTCCTCTCAAAAGTTCCTTTTATTTGGATGGTAACTGGCACATCTGTGGAATCCCGACTCTGAAAGTTCTGGGCTTCCTTGCAATAATTAAAAACTACAAAATCCATCCCCTGCACCCATCAATCACATCACATGCCCCAACCACCACCCGTCCCAAAGTAAGACTTCCTTTTTTTTTTCAATTTAGTAAATTTTATTTAGTTTTCAAAATTTAAAAACGTAAAATAAAACTTTATACATCCTTATATCAATGTCAAGACATCTTTTACATTTCCTTATCATCTTTCTATATACACATTTCTTTCATTTTACAATTTCAACTTAATGTATAAACAAATATTGATAAATATGAATATAGATATAAGTATTTACATATTCTTATTCTTTATCTAATTGCCATTTTGATTTCTTTCTGTTTTTAACAAATTTTATTCAGTTTTTCACATTAAAAACAAAAATCTCTTTTTAGTGGACAACGTATTTCCGGGTCATCACCTTTACATACAAATATGACAGCAATTATACATTCATATATGCATACTTAATTCTATTATTACCTTTTCCATTCCGAATTTTCAGTAAGGAGAGAAACAAACACATTAATTCTAGCCTCTTTCATTAATCTCAATCGAAACATCTTTTTGTTTCATTTCAATTATTTCAAATATAATCCTTTAATATTTATTTTAAAAATAAAGATAAACTCTTTTCCCCATATCTTTTCTCATTCCAGTTTATATCCTCTCTTTCTTAATATCCTCCTTTCCCCTTTTCTGCTGGGTCTTTCTGCCTTTCCCGACTTCACAGGTATTCCCCCTTTTGATTGCCTTCTTAAATCTCAACTTTTTAACCTTCCTTCTTTCCCCATTTCTTTGTAGTGTTCTTTGTGTTAATTGTCTATTTAAAATGTCTCCTCCTTGAGTCGACTCTTCCTCCTCTGAAGCTCTTTCTTCTTGTTCTTCAATCGCCATTTCCATTTTTTCTAACAGAGAGCAAAGTGATTCGACTCTTTCCTGTAGTAATTCCCTCATATTTTTAAGTTCCATTTTTAAATCCCGAAGAGATATCATCATTACACACTCTTGTATTTTAATATTGTTAAAGTCCACAAAAAACCCACTTTTACTTTCCTTCTTTCTTCTTTCAATTTTCTAAAGTTCTCAATTATTCCAGCCCAGGGTCCATACCAAAAACATCAATCAATCCCACGGTCAGTCTTTCCTTGCTTTTTTCTTTATTCTGGTTCTGCTTTCACTTTCTAAGATTCTTACTTTGTTTCAATATTTCTTTAGTGTTATATCCACACAAGTTCATTCAGAAACAGGATGCTTTCCCTTTTCTTTGAGCTCAAGTTTTTGTCAAAAGGTGGCGCTCTCCATTATACAAAGTCTTCACCTTTTCCCCCTATTTTTTTGTTTAGGGTTTTTCGAACTTCAATATTCCAGCACAGTCCAGTCTCCAATTTGTAAACTTTATTATTATTATTTTTTGACAATCTTAAGTCCAGCTTTATTTTATGCCTGTTTATTCCCAAAATATTTTAGTCCAATTTAGTTAAATCTTTAGTTCCAGCTTCTTCCTTTCCCAGTTCGAAGCCCCGCTTAGCTGTCAAAAATATTTTCTTATTTTTTTTCCTGTCCCTTTGTAATTTCGCTGCTCACTTTTCTTTTCTTAAAAATTCCATGTTACCTTAATCCCAGGGTACTTTTGTTTAGTTGTATCGCCCAATTGTCCCAGTTCAGATTTTATCCACCTCTTTCTTCCCTCCTGCACAAAGCTTAATCCAGCTGAGTCCTCCTCTTTGGGGTGGCCATTTTAAACCACCGCTGCAGTCGTCTTCGGGAGGGGGGGAAAGACCAAGCCCAGGAGGGGAGATGCGGCTCCCCTCAACCTGGCTTGCGGCTTCCCCTTACTCCGCTGCCCCTCCAAGGCAACTTCAGCCCCTAATCGTAATGATCGGGGCTCTCCAACGAAAGAGCACCGACCATAGCCGCAGAGAGTCGCAACCTACGGTCCGTCAACGAGGAGGCTCCGCCTTCTTCCTCCCATTTTGATTTCTTTTTATTCTTAAACCATTCATACCAGGCATCCCAGACATTATAATAAATTGACTCTTCTTTGTCTTTTAATTTCATTGTTAGTCTGTCCATCTCTGCACAGTCTAAATTTTTTTATAACAACACCCGCTGGTGGTACAATTTCTTGCTTCCAGAATTGTGCATAGGAAATTCTAACAGCTGTTAAAATATGTAGTAGCATGATGTATTTATCTTTTTTATTATGTTTTTCCATTATTATGGCTAAAAGGAATAGTTCTGGTTTGGATTCAATTTTCTGTTTTATTATTTCTTCTAACCACAATCCTTTTCACTTATGGGCAACACTACCTGACCTTGAATCAGAAAAACAAATTATTATGTCTAACTAGATATACTCCAATGCATTCCCCCCTCCCACTTTCTCAGACTCAGTGGTGGCAGCGTGGGAGCATCGGACCTCAATATGGCTTCCAGAGCTGACATCCTGACTTGATGGCCTTTCTGCTCACAGCCTGATATAAGCAAATTGTTTGCCATCGTTAAGTGAATCTGGCTTCCCCCGGGGAAACACTGTGACCATCATAAATACGAGTCAGTTGCCGAGCACCTGAATGTTGATCATGTGACCCTGGGGGGGCTTACAACAGTCATTAAGTGTGAAAAAAACGATCCCAAGTTGCTTTTTTCAGCGCCGTTGTCAATTCCAATGGTCACTAAATGAACAGTTGTTAAGTGGAGGACTACCTGCGTCACGTTCCCGGACGTGGAAAAATCTTGCAGGTTCCTTCCAGGCATTAACTAAACTCCACCTGTTTATACCTTCACGGGTGAATCTGGATTAAAATCTCATGATTTCTGTTTTGTTTCTCAGTACGTTTCGATGATGCGGGGTCGACTTGTTAAAGGGGAGAGAAAAAATCTTTAAAACACTGCTCGGATCCATTCTCCAGTCAGCGAAGAAACCTCGGAGAAATCAGCATTTATTTTTCTCTTACTTTTTGGTGGGGGAAGGACTGTTATTTCAGACCACTGGGAA